CCGGTCGTGGAGGAGGAACGGGGAAGCAAAATTCAGTGGGGACCGTTTCTAGCAATGCTCCCCCAACGCGACGTGCCCTGAAAGGTACGGTTAGCTCCGCCGTTATAGGCAGGATCAGACCCTTGTGCTTTCCTCTCTGCAGTCGTAGAGAGGAAGAGCCCACAAATGAGGTAGACACGTGCCTACGGCTGTGAGACCATTCGATTGCATAGCGCAATCGAAAACATATAAAGGAAGCCTGCACTGTTTTGGCAATTCTGTGCAACGCAGTCCTCCCCCCCCCTCTTAATGGACTTTGCGAGTCTTGTTTTTTTCAAAATCTTAATGGGAACGAGTTTCAGATGCCCTTCAGCGGTCGGATTTCTGACAATCTCACTGGTCTTTTCTTCACCAGTTACATGAGAAGCGATGGCCAGAGCAGGTAATGTCAGTTTTGTGAATGCTCCTTTTTCCTCTACACCCGTGAACGGGGGCGGTTGAGGGTAAATCGATTGTGAGGCTTCCGGTGTAATGTGATGTGACAGTAACGATTTTATCGAATTATTAGGTAGAATAGTTGTGACAAGATGGGGACCACTTTTTACCAAAATGGCATTGAAAAGGGAATATTCCTTCAATAATAATATTCATAAAAACTATTACTAAGGCAGAAAACACACAAATTCAAGTTTGTGGGTGCACTAAGTTGACATCTGTCAGTTTCGAATGGGTACTAATAGCTGAACGTACCGAAAAAGATGACAATGATAGCATATTGGCAATTCCCGTCCGTCACCCTCGCACACTACGAAGGGGCTAAAACTGGATTGAGCTGCTTCCAGAATCAAAGGCATATGGCACGATAATTTGGTACTCAAAACGCTGGCAGGGGGCTATATGTATAGTGGGGAAAATAGCGAAAAAACCAAGTGAAACGGGTAAAAAATGCAAGAAGAGCCTTCGTTCTTAATCTTAATTACTCAAAAAGCAATCTCGGACGAGTTTCCCCGTAGGCATCTTTGCAACGACTGCTAATGGTCGGTCCATTTAGGGGGGAGGGGTGTGGGAGCGGTGTGGGAGCGGTCGGTATGTTGGGCAGTTTGATAAATGGCTTATAAGGCGCTAATAGCTGAAAAGCGCGCTAACGCGTAGCCGCCACTGCTCAAATGGGCGCGAATCCTGTCCTGCCAGACGTATAAATCCTACTCGTCTTAGAGATCTATTGTTCCAACTGCCTTTAACATCCTCTCAGTCTTCTAGTTTATTTCAGTTTCGACATCAGCTGCTTTCATCAAGGTATGGGAAATGGGCGTTTGTAATCACGGCCTTTCCGACTTACACCCATCTGCCCACTACTTTTTCGCCTCCTGCACTAAATGGAATTACGGAGTTACGCCGTCCAGGAACAGAATGTATAAACGTGAAATGGACAGATCACACCTTGGGAAAAGGATTCTTGAATATCTGATTCCACCCTCCTCCACGGCAATCAGATACACGACGCCTCTCTCGTGAGGTCACACAAGGATGATGTGGCGGCTCATAAGAATAAGCCTGGCGCAGCTCTTGCAGGTTCGGGCAGGGTACACACTCTGTATCCCACGGTGAGAAAAGCCGTAATTGCGCACTCAGTGGCGCTTTCGACAGCGCCATCAAGGATTTCTGCTCCTAGTATTATTCGACTTCGTAAGGCCTCATCTCATCATAGTCGAGGACTAACAAGGTATTGATATATATAGAACAGATATATCTGATATATAAACAGGCGATTTCGTTAGGCTAGGAAATCATTATTTTCCAATGGCCACTGCACATGGGCCCACCAAGTATGCAGATTGGCGAACGCAAGGGGGGGAGGGGACAAAAAAAGTCAGCTTTGACAGGCACATATCAGCGTTTCGCAGGCGCAGAGAGAGACGTGGAGTAGCAAGTACCAGGGCGTAAGATACCCAAGATGTTCCTCGTTAAGCAGGAGCTGGCCCTCGCCCATCACCTTCATGTACACCAAAATATGAGGTCATCTCCAGTCCAGTGCGCAGACTGACTGTAGAAGACGTTTTGAGAATTGGAATTATATGTCACTCCCAAACAGTTTGCGCAATACTAGTGTGGGAGTCCACGCGCATGGGTAGCTAGCTACTTGGAGACAAGTACTCCTTCATCTGGAAGAACCTCCAACATCGAGGCAGCTTTCCCGAACAAGCGGTCGCTAGCGGTCGAATACATGCATCTTCCACGGCAGTTTCGCCAAGGCGTGGGTTTGATGGTTATGGACCGGACCGCATCTGAATGGAAAGACCAATATTTTCTTCGTGGACCCCGGGCTGAAGCTGAGCGCTGGCGGTTACATCGACCAACTCAAGAAGAATATCTTCCCCACATGTCGTCGCCCGTACCTTTCTTGGAAACCTTGTACTGCTACAGGCGTTGGGTAGTTACCACGTGGGAATCGATGGCGGTTGGAAGAACTCCCCGCCTACTGGAATGAGGGGGCTGATTAACCCTTAAAAGAAGATGGAATATCCAAGTAGGTCACCTGACCTGAATCCCCTCAATTACCCGGTTCGGGCGGAGTTCAATAGGGTGGTCTACGGTGGCGGAGAAATCGACTATATCTCGCCTGATATCAGCACTTATCGCAGGTCGGCGGTTGCCAGGATCTCTCGATGAGAGCCTTCAGATAGGCTGTGGCGGGAGTGTCATAATAGTATTTGATATGCTCTTTAATATGGTGGTAGAAATGTCCGATCAGAATTCATAAAGGTTTACTTATAGCGCCTCGAAAGTCAATGAGCAAAGTGACTTTTTTTTGCCCCCCCCCCCTCATCCCGTCCGCCCGCCCTGTTAGTGCACCGTTTCCAAGGAAGAGTCGATGGGTGGGTTTTAAGATGACTGATTGGTCAGGAGGTTTTACTACTCAAGAACTTTTTTTGAGGAGATGCCCGCGACTGAGACTAACCTTTGTGCATTGATTGTCTCCATTAGAGCCTTAAAGACACATGGTACGATCACACATAGTTTGGGTGTGCGTGACTATCAGCCCCCAGCTGTCGAAGCGTAGCGGTTTCCCCGTCCTAACATGCGCAGGAATGGAGAGACAGGACCGTATACATACAGGAAATATAGATACAGGAAACACGCTAATTCCTCCATGCCCCTCCAATGCCTTTTGCGGCGCAGACTCCCGTTCATGCTAACATCCGTCGTAAGCGCGCGTGTCGCGTGCGGCTCCTTGGCACTTTGCCAAGTCCTGTAATTGCGCTTTGGAATACAAGTAAAACGCAATTTCCTGATGCGGATAACATTTTAGGTGCTGCAAAATAAGAACCGAAGATGATGACGAGGGCCAGAACTCAAGAGCAACTGTGCTGCTTCTGCAATATCCCTCGGAGGCCGCGCATTCCACAAAACATGAAAATAAAAACGGCCTAAGCGTCCCACTCGTTAGTTTAAAGTGTTTTTATGGCTCCGAAGCCGGAATCGCGCCGAGTTGCAGAAATTTACATGCGATTCTAATTAATGTGCATTTCCTCAATTTTTCCATTTTTGCTTCGTTTTACATCTACATTCGTTGTTCTTTATTTCTAGCCTTCATCTTCATCACCTTCTATTCGGACTTTGAAGCATGAGCAACACCTCAAATGTTATTCGCATCAGGAAATTGCGTTTTGCTTGTATTAAACTAACGAGTGGGACGCTTAGGCCGTTTTATTTTCATGTTTTGTGGAACTGAACCAGGATTTGAACCAGGGATTTTGCAAACTCTAAGCCACTAGGACCACTTTCCACCCTCAGATTGATGGCATTATTTAATCATGTGAGATTTCCGCTAATGCTTTCCTGCCTCCAGGTTCGTAGCACTCACGGATGTCCAGCCAGGATCAGCTCGTGAACTATTCCCATGCTTCGACGAGCCTCGTTTCAAAGCCCCTCTATCGTTGACTGTTCTCCATCCAAAAGGTACCGTAGCAAGAGCGAATGAGATGGAATCTAGTGATGCACAGATGACGTGAGTGTTGGTACCGAAAATACGTGCTAAATTATTGCACCGAGCTAAGAAGCCTTTTCAGATACGATCCATTGTGGCTGAGAACATCTTTTGATGTTACGCGGTCGTTGCCCACATCGTTGACAGGACTAACTCTGACCGACTTCGAGAAAGCAGAAAGGACTACTGACACTGGAACAAAGGTCAGCGATTGTAATAGGCGTTGAACTACAAGGAACACCTGCGTTGGTAAAGCGCCTTGCCCGCCACGTCTCTGATTCCGTTTGGCGTGATGCGATGCCGCGCCGTTAGTGCGAACACGACGCGAGATCGGTTCCGCGCAATGAATGCATACCATCTTTCGGGGCATAAATCTCTTGATGATAGCATAACCCCTCTGAGCGCACATTTTAATGACCACAGCGTTATAGCCTTTGTCCTCGACCGTCTTTCATAAGGCCTAAATCCTGCTTTATGCATTTTCAGTTGATTTATAATCTTTAATCAGGCCATTTATCGCCTTTTATTTATTACTTGTTACTGTTTCACCAGGATAAACGATAGGGAAGTAAGAGACTACTACAGTTCTTTAGCAGTTGTAAAACAGAGAATCAGAGAATCCTAATAAGGCGCTGCCTCTACGGGAGAGGAGGAGGGTCATTTCGAGGTCTCCTTGTGCAGAACTGGGATTGCCAGAGAATGAAAGGCCCTGCGAACTGGCCGAAGTTAGTTCACTCATTATAGGTTTCATCTCAGTTCCTTCACAGAGTTGTACCTCTCCCTAGACCCTATGCAGGCTCCCCGTTTCCTTTACATAGCTCAGTTTTGCAGAAGGGAACCTCAGCTCCCATCCGTCTTCTAGTCGAAAAACGCTTTCTTTCAATCCATGCAATTCAGATCAGAGTGTACTCACGCCCAGAAGCCATCAACTCAACGGAATTCGCGTTGGAAACTTCAGAGAAGGTGTTCGAATTCTTTCAGAGCTACCTTGCCGTTCCTCCCAGATGCACAAAATTAGGTTCGTGTGTGGGAAGCATAATTTTGTTAAGGCCATAAAGGGCCATTGTTTTTTGAAAAGTTTGTGATGAATGTATTTATATTTCTATGAAGCAATCAGTAAGTTGCAGATTTGTTTGCTCTTCCTCATTTGGAGAAGACAGCGATGAGTGGTGATGGATTGATTCTGGTTCGGGAAGACGGTCTCCTTTACGAATCCCA